CTTTTCATTCCTGCACCCCACTAATAGCCACACCTGTCCCATCTACCTTCAAGTGCAGTTGGTTTTATTTTTTGAGGGGGTCAGGGGTTACTCCTGGCCCTGCACTTAGGCATGACTGCTGGCTATGCTTGGGACTGTATGAGATGCCAGGGCTCGAACCCTGGTTGGCCATGTGCAAGGCTAATGCCCTCCCCCGCTCCAGTCCCAAGTGCAAGTGTTTGTAGAAAAAAGCTCTCCACACTGCCACCTGCTTCTCTGTTCCCAAGACACATGCACCTGCCCCAGGCCCTTTGCACCAGCTTGCCCTCAGCCTGGAACACATATTTTCCCACTCTCCTTGGTCCCTAACACATACATTTCTTACTAATTTTATTGGCGGATGCGTCTCTCCTGGGCAGGGCCCGTTATGTAATAGATGTTCCATGGCTCTGGGCCATGAATGAATGAATGACCCATTACCGCCAGTCCTGTTTCTCAGTGTTCTGGGTGAGATGCTTGATTCTGCTTTCTGTTCCAGGTGTGAGACAAATGGTCATTCTGCAGGCAGAAGGGATCCAGCATGGTGCTCCCCCAAGACAAGCCTGGGTAGGGTGGTGGTCTCTGCCCCCTGTCAGCCTCTCCACTAACTTCTCACATAGCCACGTGCCCCAGTGAGTCCCTTGGAGTCAAGGTCCTGGCCCCAGAGATAGTGTGTGTGTGTGTGTGGGGGGCACACCCAGCGATGCTTAGGGATCACTCCTGGCTCTGTACTCAGGGACCTCTCCTGGCAGTGCTCAAGGGGCCCTATGGGATGCCAGGCACTGAGTCTGGGTCAGCTGCGTGCAAGGTCAGTGCCCTCCTGGCTGTACTATCGCTCTGGCCCTTGTGGGCAGTGCTGGTCGTAAGAACCAGCCTCAGTGGTTCGCAAGCCAACTGCCTCAACCTCTTCCTGTCACACCAGACCCTTCTGGGGGGCTAAGCTCAGGGCTTACTGCTGGCTCTGTGTTTTAGGCAGGCTCTGCAGGATACCAGGGATCGAACCCAAGTTGGCAGCGTGCAAGGCAAAAGCCGTCCCACTCTACTATGGCTCCAGCCTGGACTTTCGAATCTGTTGCTCGCTCCAGACTACCTGACTGGCGGGGTGGGGGGTGGGGTGGGGTGGTGGTGTCTGTGGGGCGCTGTGGAATTACAGGCACATTTTCCATCCATGAACATGAAACATCTCCGCAGGCGGTGGATTAAGGAAACACATCCTCTTTGCTTGTTTTTGTTTTGGGGCCAGCAGGGCTCAAGGCTGACTCCTGGCTGGCTCTACCCTCAGGGATCATTCCTGGTAGTGCTCAGGGAGACCCTATGGGATGCTGGGGATCAAACCAGGTTCGACTGTGTGTAAGGCCAGTGCCCTCCCTTCTGTGCTAGGGCCCTAGGGCCTGCTGCCCGCTTGTTTATTCCTTACCTGTGTGCCTTTCACGGTTAGACTAATGGGCACGGAGTCTTACTGCACCCCTGCGTGGGGGAGCAAGTATCCCTGCACAATCAGAAAGTGGCTTCAGCAGGGCTAAGCGCCACTCCCACCCCTGCTCCCCAAAGCACAAAGCCAGAAAGTGTTAGAGCTGGGGTTCCTTTTTAAAAGAACTTATTTATTTTAGGGGCTGGAGCGATGGTACACCGGGTAGGGCATTTGCCTTGCACGTGGCTGACCCGGTTTCAATTCTCAGCATCCCATATGGTCCCCCATGCACCGCCAGGAGTAATTCCTGAGTGCAGAGCCAGGAGGAACCCCTGAGCACCGCTGGTGTGACCCAAAAAGCAAACAAAACACTTTTTTATTATAGTGTTTAGTCCACACCCAGCGATGCTCAGGGTTCCCCTTTGGCATCTGGGGGACCCTATGGGATGCCAGGAAACAACCCGGGTGGGCCTGTGTGCTGTATAGCACTTAAGCACCCTACTGGCTGTACTATCTGTCCAGTCCCCAAGCTGGGGTTCTACCCTGTGTGTTTTGGGACATTGGTAGCGGACTTGAAATTGCAGTTTTGGGAGTTGAATCCCTGAGTGGCACATGTCGCATCTCTTAACGCAGCTCTGGTGCCCACGTCCTGTCAGGTGTCTGCTGGGTTCTCCCGGTACCCTTCCACTCCCACCCAGATCTGGAATGCCAAGGCTCTTCAGACCAGAAGGCGGAGGCCGAGTGCCTTCTGGCCTGTCCATTCATACAAGTCCACATCAACTGGATTAGCCGGTAATTGTTTTAGTGGCTCACGGACGCGATTTGCAGTTATTTATTTGGGGCATTTATTTCAGAGTAGCTAGCCCCGCTCAATTGAATAACATTCTCCCCGCCAGGGCAGGCACGCTGCTGCAGATTGATAGATTAAACTTCCAGCTGGCAGATGCAGGAACCATGAGACCCAGTGGCTTATATGGTTTTGTGGGCCTGCTGCTAAGTGGCGCGTGAGAAATCTTCCTACTTGGTCAGAGGGACGCAGGCACGCCCTGCTGAGCTCGAGGGTGGACAGTGAGGGTCTCCCACATGCCAGCCCCATCGTGTCCCAACGTTGAGGTTCCTATGGGCGATGTTTAGCCATGGGGGAGGGGGTAGCTGCCCCCCTGTAGGTTGTTAGAAGACTTGGAGATAATTCTTTTTTTTTTTCTTTTCTTTCTTTTAATGGGGGGCCACACTCAGCGCCTGGCTCTGCACTCAGGAATTACTCCTGGCGGTGCTGGAGATACCTATGGGAATCCGGGATCAAACACACTCCGGCTGTGTGCAAGGCAAACGCCCTCCCCGCTGTACTAGAGCTTCATCCCCCTGCAGATAATTCAAAGGAGGGGGGCCCCCTACTTCATGGTAAAATACATGTCGGGGATGCCCAGAATTCCACAGCAAGCAGAGGTTGAACCAAGCCGTGGCGTGATCTTTCCACGGAATAGCGGGTGACGCCCCCAGGCCCTAATCCCCCCACCCCCAGGTGGCTCTGTCCCGGAAGCAAAGGAGGGGGCACAGACTCCCTTTTCACTTGGGAGTCCCGACTGCCATGGGGGCAGAACTGTGCCCTTTCCAGCTGCATGGAAGGTGAAGAAAATCAAGGCTAGCTAGGACAGAGTGGCTTCCTCGGCCAGCGCGGGCCCAGATGTGCCTCTGCCCTCTGAGCGGAACGGATCCCCGCAAACCCACCCCGCATTGCTCAGAGTGCATTAGTGATTAAGCGGTGGGTGACTTGTCACCCCATAAAGTCACGAGAGGGAGTGCCGCTAGGGCTGTGCGTGTGTGTTCTCCCTGGGAGTTTACACGTAGCCTTAGGAATGAGTATGCTTTTAAGCCATGGCTAGGGTTCACCCCTGGCATGCTTAGGGGGACCCCCGCTGGGTGCTGGGATAACCAGGCTGCTTCCCCACGGTGCGTGTGTGTCTCCTGTCCTGCAGTGCAGAGGTTTTCTCAGGAGCAAAATCATTGGGATGGGAAACTTCTCCACTAATTTTTCACCACAGACACACACGTACACACGTGCACACACACGCGCACACACACGCATACACATGCACACACACATCTGCACACACGCACACACACATGTGCGCACACACACATACGCACATGCCCCACTGTTTCCAGTCAAAACAGTGGGACAAACCAAATTCCTTGGGAGCTAGTGACTTCTCTCTCTGTGTGTCTCTCTCTCTCTCCCTCTCTCTCTGTTTGCCTCTCTCTTTCTCTCTCTCTCTCTGTGTGTCCAGTACTTTTCTCCCTCCTGCTGCCCCTTGCCGGAGTGCAGGAATCTGCGCCCACATCCACTCCGTTCAGTCGTCATTGGTTGGGGTCCGTCATGTGCCCACGCGGGGCCGCTTCTGTTCTAGGCTGGCAGGGGCTGGGGGTTCGGACCCTCGCGCGCGCATCCCCATCGCCTCCTCCCGGCTGCCCCCCCCCCCCCCGTCGTCTTCCTCTCTCCTCCCCGCACCCTGCCACACCAAGTCTTATTTTAGCAAAACCTAGAGGGAAGAGAACAGGAGGAGGGATTTGGGGGGTGGGGTGGGAGGTGGGGGGAGCGCCAGGCAGTGCAGCATCCGGGGAGCAACCGCCGTGCCGTGCGAGCCAAAGGCGCCTCTCTCCCTCTCTCTCCCTCTCTCTTTCTCCCTCTCTCCCGCCCCCAGTGGGAATTTTCAGGATTCGATTGCAGCCATTTAACCCCAAGATGCGACTGAGCGGCGCGGGGGCTGCGCGCTCGCACGCACACGCGCGCACACTCGCTCGCTCGTGAGCAGAAGACGCGGCCGCGGGTGATTCCGGAAGGGGAAAGAGAAAACCCAAAGAGCCCCCCAGCCAGCCACCCGCAGACCCCTAGCCCCAGCCCGGGACCTCGCGGCTGCGGGATTCCTGCGGGCCGGCCCCGCGCCCGGCGCTGCCCGGTTCCCGCGCCCGCCTCGGGGCGCCGCACCGCGCGGGCCGGCGGGCCGGGCTCCTTCGGCCTTTTGAAGGGCTCGGCAACTCAAAAGGGGAATTTAAAAAAAAAATTTTTTTTTTCGGTGCTGCCTCGACCTCTCTCCATCACCGCCCACCCCTCCCCCCGGTCTATTTCATTTTTAAATATTAGCATATCTCTCTCTCTCTTTTTTAATTAAAATGGCAAATTAGAGAAATTGTTTCCAAGCGGGCCGGGCGCCCTGAGTGTGCAGAACAGAACCGACCGCCTGAGCCGGCTGGCAGCGCCTCTCGGAGGCTTCCCGGGCGCCCGAGGGGGGGCGCGCTGTGCAAACCGCTTTGCAAACCGTGCGCGTCCTGGAGGGGGGTGTGCGTGAGTTTTTTCTTTTTTTTTTTTAATTGCTTCCCCCCCCCTCTCTCTCCTCCCTTTCCTATTATTTTTCTTTTTTTTTTCCCCTCCCCACCCCGGAGTGGGCGGCCTGGGGATTGCCTGGTTCGCTTCCCGGCGCTGCTGCGCGGCGCGTCCCCTGCGCGCCCCCGCCCGCCCGCGCCCCGCGCCCCGCCCCGCGCCCCGCGCCCCTCCTCCTGCGGGGTCAGCGCCGACGATGTCCCGAGCTGCTCCGGCGGGCTGGGGCCGGCCCGCGGCGCGCTGAGCCCCCCGAGCCCCGGCGCCCCGCAGCCGCCGCCGCCGCCGATGGGCTGCGCCGTGGAGCGTGTCCGCAGTCGCCGCCCGGGCCGCCGTCTCCGAGGCTCCGCCGGCCACAGCAGCTGCACCAGCGGCACCAGCAGCGGCCGCGGCGGCGGCGGCGCCTCCTCCCTGCGCAGCCTTCGCCGCAGCCGCCGCGTAACCCGGGGCCCTTTGCTCTCCGCAGAATGGCCCGCTTCGGAGACGAGATGCCGGCCCGCTACGGGGCAGGAGGCTCCGGGGCAGCCGCCGGGGTGGTCGTGGGCGCCGGCGGCGGGCGCGGAGCCGGGGGCAGCCGGCAGGGCGGGCAGCCCGGGGCGCAAAGGATGTACAAGCAGTCGATGGCGCAGCGCGCGCGCACCATGGCCCTCTACAACCCCATCCCGGTCCGGCAGAACTGCCTCACCGTCAACCGCTCCCTCTTCCTCTTCAGCGAGGACAACGTGGTGAGAAAATACGCGAAAAAAATCACCGAATGGCCATATCCTTTGCCCGCGCCCCCCACTCCCCGAACCCGGCGTCTGCGCCTCCCCCTTCTCTCCACCCCCCACCCCCACCGCTCCCCTTTCCCGGCTGGGAGCGAGACCCGGGGGTTGATGGGAGGTGGGGAGGGGTCTTCCGGGGGGGCTGGGAGAGACGGGTTACCTGGGAGGAGTGTGGGGGGGAAGCTCTCCACCCCCGAGCCGGGTCGGGCTACCGCGCGGGCTTGGGGTGCGGTGCGGTGGGGGGGCCCCTCCGGAAGTGGATTCCGCCCCAGGATCCTTCCACGGTGATGGCTGGGCCTGGGGGGGTCGTGCCAAGGCCCGTGGGTGCTCCTGAGACCGCACCCCGCCAAGGGTCCTAGGTGTCCCGGATGAGTCCTCCGCAGCAGCCGGGGTGCCCCAGCCCCACGGGGGAACGCGCGAGGGCCCGGAACGGGGATGCCCAGCGGCCCGCAGAGGCCAGCTCGCTCCCCAGCTCCCGCCCCGCCGGGTCCCTGGGCCCGAGGCGGCCAGGGCTATCCAGGGCCAGCGGGGAAACTTAGAGAAGGGGCCAGCGCCTGCCAGGAGTCCGCATTCTGGGATGGGCGGCTGGCCCCGAGCTGGGCATGGCTCCGGGAGAAGTTGGGGGCCCTGGGCCGTCGGGGAGGGGCCCGTGCCCGGGCTGGAAGCTGAAGGCCCCTGCGTTCTCTTGGGGGGAATCACAAGCGTTTCGTCGGGCCTCGTCCTGCAGGACCCCCCGGCGCGGGTTGTTGGGGGAGGCAGGCCAGAGTCAGGGAAAATGGGGTGGTGGATGGTTCTGGGGTACCGTCTGCTCCTCTCATCCCCGAGAGGCCCCTGAGCCTCCCCACGGGTGGACACCTTTTTTTCCCTTTTTAATCAAAACTTTGGGGGGAGAATGTGGACCCCAAGTTTCTCGCTGGAGCAAAGCCTCTTGGGTTTCCTGAAATCTGTACCTGCCGGAAATAGCCCTGGTGGGGGAGGGGCGCGCACGGAGCTGGAGGCGGGGACGGGTGGGGACTGGGGACGGGGTTAGTCAGGCTTCGTGGCTGTTACCAAACCGTGACCCAGATTCCAAGGGGGGGGGCGCACCCTGCACCCCAGCAAGACAGGCCGCGGGCCGGGGCCGAATCTGCTGCCTCTCGGTCCCTTGGCAGCAGTGGGCCCCCGGCCGGCTGCACCCTGTTCCCGCCCTGCCTTTCCAACTCCTAGTCTCTCCATGGGGCTGGGCTTTGGGGGTAGGGACTGGCTTGCCTGATTTTGAGGATCTCAGTCATTGTGATTGTGGGTTTTTTTTTAAATTTTCAGGGTGGTGGGGAGTCCTCGGCCTGAGCCGGGGCTTTGGTTTCTGGGTGCGGAAGTGGTTGCGGAGGGTGGTGAGGTTTGGGTGTGTGTGGATGGGCTCCTGGCCAGGTGGCAGTGGTGAGGGTGTTGTCGTGGGGGACCCTCTGGCCACCATGACGGTCCACCCCAAGGCTGGAGCCAGCCCATCCGCCACCTCCCCGGTCCTGTGTCGGTGGCAGGTGCCCAGGGTGGGGTCGCACGCTGTCCTGCCCCTCCCCGCGCGGAGGTGGCTGGGTGTCCGTGGTGCCCAGCGGGTACCCCGGGGGTGGGAGTCTGGGAGGGACTCGCCAGGCGGACAGGTTGCGCGTGGCAAATGGCTCCGTTCCTCCTTCTGGAGCCCGGCTTGGTTGTCTTCCGAGAGGCGAGGAAGGGGGTAGGAGAATGCGTGTCCTCAGCTAACCCCGTCCGGCCTGCACCCCACGGCTCAGAGGCCGGTTGGGGGGCGGGGGACGGCAGAGGACCCCATCTTCCACCTTCCGGGGTTGCCGCCTGCCCCTGCCTGGCGCCCTGGTGCACTCCTGGCCTCTCTCGGAAGCTTCTGGTCGAGTTCCTGCGTGGCTCTCAGTTCTCGCTGCTCCTCTGTGCCGTGCTCTGGCTCCGGGCGGCAAATGCATCTGACCGTGGCCCTGGGGGGAAGCTTCCCTCCGGCCGTCCATCTGGTGGCCGTCGGACGGGACTTCTGGGAGTGGGGTGCAGAGAAAACTGGCGGGGTGGAGGGCGGCGCTGTCCGGGTGCTTGTTCCATGGAATCGTGTCTCAGCGCTTGAAACTTGGCACACGCGTTTGGGACTGTAACCAGGGAAGCCTGGAGTTGGAGCCGCTGAAGGATTCTACAGACTCCCACCTCCCCCTCGCCCGGCCCCCGAGACTCATCACAGCTTTGTCTTCCAGCCTCCGGAGCTGGTGTTCCCGATGTGCAGGTTCCTGCACCCATTTTTCTCGCTCATTCTTTTTTTGAGGGAGGGGGTCACACTTGATGGTGCTCAGGGGCTATTCCAGGCTCAGTGGTTGCTTGGGGGCTCCAGCCCGGAGCAGCCGCACACCAAGCCTGCATCCGGGGCTGTGAGCCCCCTGCCCTGTGTTTGCGTGCGTGTGCTTCTCCGCGTCACTCCCTGAACCAAGACCCGGATCTGTCCCACTCCCCCTCGTCCCCAGTGGCTCCAGCTCCATGGTCACCACAGCCGAGGGGGCTGCCATCCCTCCCTCCCCTGCCCCTTCCTGCACACGCACACGTACCGCTAGGAACTTTCCCCGCCCAGGCGCTGACTGCGAGCCTAGGTTCCAGGTTTCCACAGTGGCCGAAGCTGGTGGGCTCCGAGGGTGGTCCCAGAGCTCAAGTCTGTCAGCGGCATGGGACACATGTGCCATTCTCTGCAGAAAGGGCCCCAGAGCACCCCTGAGCGCAGGATGATCTCAGGATGTGGGTGAGTGGGAGTCTTTTGAAGCACCTCCCCCAAAAAAACAGCTTTGGTTTTCAGTAATAGATTCTTTGCCGAGGACCTTGGGTGACACAGGGGGCGTGAGCTGAGTTGGTCAAGGCTTGGTCCGTCCTTGATGGTAGAAGGTGCTAGAAGGACCCGCCTATGGCTCTGACACCTGGGAGTGCTGGGACTATTCCTGGTTCTGTGCTCAGGAGTGTCCCCTGGTGGTGCTCAGGGGAACTACATGCGGGACCAGAAATGGGGCTGGCCACAGGGCAGGCAGGATGCGAGGTGCATTCCTCAGGCCACAGCTTCTCTTCCAGGAGTTGCATCCTTGGGGACCCTTTCACCTCCTGCTGCATCTGCTCACGATCTGTGGAGCGCGGGCTAGTGACTGTTCTCTTGTCCTTCCCGGCTTATTGGGATGTTTCCCGGTGGCTGGTGCTGGGTTGAGTGGCATGGGTTGTGCTGGGTTGGGGGCGGCTTCATTTCTCTCAGAGGCAAACAAATACTCCCCCGTCATCAGTGGTGGTGGCACTGGGTGGGGCGGTGTCTGTTGGGTGCCCCCCAGGACTGCCAGACCATTGCCCGTGGTCCTTCCCTTTGCATGCCTGTTCTCCCCAGTCCCTCCTCTCTAGCCCCCCTCCTTGCAGCCTCAAAGGCAGAGGGGAGGAAAGGGTTTGGAGGTGTGTGAAGTGGGGGAAAGGAGGGGAGGCGGGGGTGAGTATCCGCTCCAGTCTGAAATGTTGGGGGGTCAGGGAGGAGGTCGGCTGTGCCCCTGACTTTGCCCCTTGGCCGAGAGTCTGGTCCGGGCTGGGCAGGGGGTGTGGGTGGGCGAGCCACATGCCTTACGTGTGAGGCTCTAGGTTCAATACCCGGCACCCCATGGGGTCCCCTGAGCACCGCTGGGTGTGGCCCCCAAACTAAAAATTAATAAATAAAAATTGAGATGATTAAAGTTTAGGTAATGCGGCTTTAATAGCGTTCTAGTTTCTGGTGGGGATGTGAAAACTTAATGCATGCTCCAAAGTGCTGACACACTCTTTCCTTTTATTTATTTGGTTTTTGGTCCACACCTGGCAGTGCTGAGGGCTAAATCCTGGCTCTGCACTCAGGGATCGCTCCTGGTGGGGCTCGAAGGACCTTATGGGGTGCCGGGGATGGAACCCGGGTGGGCCGCATGCCAGACAAGCGTCACTGTCCCCGCTATCCTATCTCTCCAGTGCCCAAAATTTTTATTTTTTGGGGGTGTGTAAAACTTTAGAAGCGAAGCTCTTGGGGGGAAGCTGTGAGCGCCCAGACCTGACTGGTGGGCTCAGACCCCTTCACCTGCTAGTGGCCCCCTAACAAAAAGGCAAGGCTCGGTGACTTTGCTCTCGCGACCTCTCTGACAGCTTCGGGGGGCGGTTGGGGGGATAGACTTGACCCTCTTGTCCCATTTTCCCGATTCCCTTTGGTCTCTGATGAAATTAATTGTCTTCCTCTGCCTCAGTCTCTCCCCCAGGGAACGCGGAGAGAGGTTGGAGAGTGTATAATTAGCCTCCCTGTCCTGAGCGTGGCCGTCTGGCCTGGGCACAGCACCCCGCAGGTCACCCCCAGAGTGCTGAGTCTGGTTGTCCCCGTCCCCGGAGGAGGCTTGAGAATGACCCGCAGTTTCTGGAGTTTGGGTGCCATCGACTGTGCTGGTTTCAGTCTCTTGGGAAACCCAGCAGTTCTGGGAGAACCAGCTTGGCAGGGACCCCGGGGGAACCTTCCAAAAGAAGCAATGGCGCTAGAGTTTGGTGTGTCTGTTCTGCCTCTGTGAGCCGAGGTTTTGGTTTGGGGGCCACACCCGGTAGTGCTCAGGGCTCACTCCTGGCAAGGCTCGGGGGACCCTGTGGGATGCTGGGGATTGAACCCAGGTTGGCCGCCTGCAAGACACGTGCCATTCCTGCTGTACTAGCACTCCGGGCCCCCAGGAGTTGAGAGGTTTTTCTGAGTGTTCCTTGCATTTGGAAGCATCTTTCCTTGCTGCGAATGTCACGGAAACGCCTTTCCTGAGGGCAGGCGCCTGTCTTCCCTTCCAACCTGGACCCCTCTCGTGGCTGTCTCGCAGGAGCTCAGGTTGGGCCCAGTGCCCACCGCTAGCATCTCCCTTCCCGGGGAGTCTCGCCAGAAGTGGGGGGTGCCCTTCCCCGGAGCCGCAGGCAGAAGGCAGCCAGGGTGCGTTCTGACCCTCTAATGCCCTGTCAACACCT